CCCCAAAACCCCAAAACCCCAAAACCCCAAAACCCCAAAACCCCATTTCTTCCAAAATATACTGAATATTAATTTAATTTTGAACAATTTAGAGAAATTAAGGCTTTACGGACCAGATCTATTGCTGTGAGGAACAACTGGGGCTAATGCAGATTTTAAAGAGAATGCTGCCCACCGAACCTTGAGTAGAAATATAGACGAGGGCCAAGAAGCAGTGTCAATTTAGGGATAAGTTTTTATAGTTTCTAGAAAAATTGCTAAAAACATGCTAAGTTACTGTATTTAGGGATATTAGTAGATCAACTATTTTTTATGTGGTGTGGAGAAAATTGATACAAAATAGTATGGGCTCCTTATTGAACTCCTTGTTGAAAAGTTCTCACTCAGAGTCCACCCTCCTGTCGATCATCAGACTCAATGCGATTTTCAGAATTTAATAGAAATTATATGAAGTATTTTAACTTAAAATTTTTCAATAAAAAGAGGAATTTCGGAAATGCTCACTTTTTCGTTAACCTCAGAGGTCTTTCAGTTTGGACTTGAAATACTTGGAGCTTCTAGGATCTGTCTTGCTTCTGATCCTCTAATATCACTGAGGTTCTATGAGAAGCTTAGTAAGAGGTTCAGAATTCTTGCAGAAACTTTACAAATTCAAAAGATGACTTTCTTAAGGAAGATGAATTTTTAAGGAACATAATTTAAAAAAGAAATAAATGAGGCTGATAGATAAATTCTAAGCATACTTTCCAGACCTTATTCTGGTCTTCTTCATCTTTTCTCATTCTGTCATCATCAAGTCATCTTTTACCTATACAGATACTATGAGTTTAAATATTCTTGAGATTCAGCTCACAGGAGACATCTCATTTGCTGAAATATCTTTAATCTAACGCTTCTTCCCTGAGCCATAATTTTCTATCAAGCCTGGCTAGTATTTCCCAAAATTACCACTACTTAATAGCTACGCTTTTAAATTTGTCAAACCTTCATCCGCAAATGTTGTTTTAAAACTACATATCTGAAAAATTTGACAATTTTAAAAAAAGTGAAGTATAAAACTCTGACTTGGACCCAAAATCACTTAGCCTCTAGCTGTCTTTCTTTAAAAACTGTTATGATTAAAAATACAGTATAGAGTATTCAAAGACGCATATCCAGCTATTCCAATTAATGTTTCCCAAATCTGACAGATTCTTATCATTCACCCTCTGAAATACCTCTTCAGTTATTTAGAAGATGTTACGATCAACTGTAGAAGTTTCAGGCGCAGGAGGAAGACCATATTGGTCTTCCTCCTGCTCAAGAATTTCTGTCATTAAATTTTAACATTTTATGCTGACCAATGAATTTCTTCATAAATGTGCAAAAATATCAAATGGGTATTAATAAATTAAAGAGGGGATAGCTTACGAATATTTTTGTGCATGAATTGGTGATAAATAGGGCACCAAAGCAGAATATTATACAGCTTTGGGGACTGTTTATACAGTTTTGGCTTGATAAGTTAATGATACTAATTTCTCTATCGAGATTTTGATATTATAGAGCATAATTTCGAATAACTGAGATTGCCGAATGTTTACAAAGAGTATATTCGGGAAGTAGATTAAAGGAGATAAAAGATTATGATGACTTACTTTCTTCAACCCCTCCTTTTTGAAAATCATAAGGGTACCAAACTTTTGCTCTGTTTCTCTTTCTTCTTACAGGCTCTTCAGTAGCACCAGGAGTGTTGGGATTTTTCTGACTCAGCAAAGGGAGCGACAATTCTGAGTTAAAATTATCTAAAACCATTATTTTTACAAATCCTCGGTAATGTTTCGAAAAGATCGGTTCTCCAAATAATAATGAGAAGGCAATAATGACAGCTTTGATCATTAATAAAGTTAAGCTATTTCAAAAGGATCAAACGGGATTCTAAAGCTTTCACCAGGACTGTTACAATAACCAGATGCTATTTCTCTCAACTCTGGTAGTATAAGTAAGAACCCAATCGAATTTAATAACTCAGACTTACTATTATCAGTCATATTTTGATTATATTTATCAACACAATGCATTTAAAAAGGGGTTTTGGGGTTTTGGGGTTTTGGGG